CAAAATGCTCTTGGGAGCCATAAACTGTGAGAAGATGAGGGGAGATGGGGGCTTCCCTAAGTCTCATGCTCTGAAGGTCTTGCTGAGTTTGGTGGTGGTTTAGTCACTAAGTTGTGTCCGACTCTTACAACCCCCTGGACTGTAGCCTGCCAGGCTCCTCTGTCCATGGGACTTCCCAGGTAAGAACACTGGAATAGGCTGCCATGCCTTCCTCTAGGGGATCTTTCCAACCCAGGTATCAACCTGGGTTTCCTGCATTGCAGGCAGTTTCTTTACCAAATGAGCCACCAGGGAAACCCAAGTTTAAGCTGAGTTTGTTTATATGAAAACAAGAGCATTAACTTACCCATCAAAAGTTAGCCATCTGGCCCAACACCATTTATTAAATAGTTTGTGCTTTCTCTAAGGATTTAAAATATCCCTCCACCGTAAATCTGATCTGTATTTCAGTCTGTCTTGACAATCTTTTCTCCCTTGCCTTTCACGACATTGCCTGCTCAAGGATGCCTCCCATCTCTGACAATTCTTTTCAAGCCCCCTCTGTCCCTCCCTTGAGCATGGTTCTTCAGGTTCTTTCTCCTGGAGGCTTGCCCTGGGAGGGAGCTCCTGATTTTAGTTCTTTGCTGATGAAATGCAAATTCTGGGCTGCACCCGTGCTTGTGCAGGTCGGTCCCAGAAAAACAAGGTCAGGCCACGGGGCAATTAGGGGTGAAACCCATCCTGCTCTCTGCCCAGCATGCTGTGCACCCACAAGATTCCCCAGAGTCGCATCGTTAGCCCAGATGACCCCTGAGTCATGACCCATCCATCCAACATGCGCCAGCCATCTCTCCCTGAATGTTCCCTGGGAACTGCACGCTCAACAGGGCTTCTTTCTTCCAAGGCCATCCCTCCCTCGAGTCCCCTGAACACACAAGGTAGAAAAGGAACCTGTGCATTCTACCTTCCTGGACCTGCCACATCCCACCTCCTCTTCTCCGGCCACAGCTGCTACTGTGGAGCTGACCTCATCACTTCTCATCGAGTCTGCGAGGTCTCTGCTTGCCATCCTCTGACCCCTCACTCTGCAGCAACAAGCAAGCCTTCCACACATTCTGAGATGTCAAGCCAGCACTCTGAATCCTTCCATGCCATGCCCCACAGGGCAAAGTCCCAATTCCTCCTTACCCAGAGGAGGTCTTTAGTGAATCAGACTCTCAAGTCCGTCTCTCTCTGCTCCAACACATCAGCCTTCCCCTGGCTGACACCACAGCTAGGAACACCTAAGTACCCTCGTCCTTTCAAAGATGGGTCTGATGCCCAGAAAAAGCTGGCGGCCCCCTTCCTCGAGTGCCCAGATTTCCATGCTAACACCCGCAACACTTATCGGTTTCCGGATTTCTCTGACTTCATCAGACCTTCCATCTTTGAAGGCAAAGACAGCCTCTGCTCTGATTTTGTATCCCCATAGCCCAGCATAGCACAGCAGCCGGCCCTGTGACAATTCCCAGGCAGAAAAATCCTAAATGGATTTGAAAATAAGTAGATTAGCCAGAGCAAGGCAATACAAATGTAAATTGGGCTTTTAACTCCTTACATTTGTATGTGTTGTAAAAACAGGGACAGCATGTCTATTGTAGCCCAGCACCCCCTGGGAAAGAAGCGATTAGGGATTACAGGGACTAGGAGAGCTTGGAGCAAAGGAAGACAGACAGGGAGGAGAGGGAAATGGTTCCTGACGGCTGAGCACAGGGGCTCTGCTTCCCTGGCGGTGGTGCCTGGCTCTGGCCTGAGTCACATGCCGGCAGAGATCCAAGAGCTGGGGCAGAGAGGTGGGTGCAGCCGGTTTGGCTGTGAGCAGACACAAACGCCTCCAGGAGTCAGGGGGTCAGATAAACGTAGGTGTGAGAAGACCAAGAGGCTGCTTTCAGTACCCTCCTGCAGAAAAGGAGGTCAGATTCAAAACTTCACTGAGGAGTCTAGCAGCCAGACAAAACAGGGCTGAGGTCCCAGAGAGAATTAGTACGACATCTGGTCTTCCCAGTCCCTTAAAACTACAGAGCACAACTTTTAACATGACCCTGAGGGTCCGCACGATCCCTCCAAACATGGCTAATGTGGTCATCATGTGTCCCATCTCAGCTGAAGGGTGCCTCCTCCTCCAGGAAGCCTCCCCTGACTTCCTGGGGTATCTCTGGGACATGTTCTTAAAACACCATGGACTCCTCCCCTTCACAACCCTGCTCACAATTGTAATCAAATATCGGTTCATTTAAAATCTGCTTCTGGGAATTCCCTGTCAGTCGAGGGAACTCGGGGCTTTCACTGTCGGGGCCCGGGTTCAATCCCCCAGTCAGGGAATTAAGATCCTGCAAGTTGAGAGCCAAAAAATAAAAATAAATTAAATAAAATCTGTTACTACTATAAGAAGATTAGCATTTCGAGAGTCAAGGCTGTTTTTTATTCTTTTTTTGTTTTGTTTTGTTTTTTATTCTTATATCCCAGTATCCAACACTCTGCTTGAAACATATGTGAGGCCCAATACATGCTTGTTGCAAGAACAATTCAATCAACCACACAAATGAAGAATGAATTAAATAACGAATGAATAAAACTGGCATGTGTCTAGTGCGTTGCAGGATGTTCTTCAGCATCTGTAGCCTCTACTCACTAGATGCCAGGACATTCCCCAGTTGGAACAATCAAAATTCTTTCCAGACTTGCTCTCTGGGGAACAAAACTGTCCCTATTGAGAGACCCTGTTTTCCTGAATTGTTGAGTAGGTTAAATAAAATTATTTATGGCTAATTTAACACATTTTGACACGTAATATGTACACAATAAATGTAATTATTGGATTACTGCGAGCATTTGGGAGAGAGTGGGGAAGGGTGAGCAGGACAGGTCATATTGGGAATGACAGAGAGCCCAGAGAGGTGTCACCAGCCAGTATGGCCGGTGGGCCAATATATGTTATGTCATCATACAGCTTGGGAACTCCTTAGCTAAGATCAGTGTTAACATTTTTATTTTATTTTTAAAAATTAATTAATTATTTTTTGGAGGCTAATTACTTTACAATATTGTATTGGCTTTGTCATACATTGACATGAATCCACCACGGGTGTACATGTGTTCCCCATCCTGAACGACCCCTCGCACCTCCCTCCCCATCCCATCCCTTTGGGTCATCGCAGTCTTTACATTTTTAAATGGCTGAAAAAAGAAGCCTATTTCATGACATGCAAATTATTGAAAATTCACATTTCAGGGTCTAAGTAAAGTTTTATCAGAACACAGCTGGCCCCATGGGCTTACCATCATCTATAGCTACTTTCACATGACACTGGTAGAGTTGAGCAGCTGTGACATTGACCCCATGGGCCTCAGAGCCTAAAATATCCACCACCTGAACCATTAGAGAAAAAGTGTTTGACCCCTCGTCTAGAATCTCTTGCAACCCCTATATTCCAGGACCCAGTGGCATGACATCTGGGCTTCAGAAAAAAGCTGTCTGCCCTGCCTGGTAATGTAAAATGGGACCTAACTCTCCCCTTAATAAAGAGAGGGGTAGTTGAATGAGAGCATATATCAGCAGTGAATTGTTTGTTACACGGTTGTTTTTTAAAAATGAGTTGAGATTTTTAGAAAGCGACTTTTACCCCTCTGCCCCTTTGCAACAGGAGCTACTTCAGGACAAGGATGGAGCCAAATTCTTGATGATCTCAGGGTCATATGGTTCAATTTCTGTATTTGAGAGATGGGGAACTGCACATAAACACACTCTCCTCCGAAACTTCAAAGTCTGATAGTCTGATAACAGTACAAAGCTGCTCACATGTTTATTTTGAGGAAGACTCTTTCTGATTAGAATGGTCAGAAGGAGTTCCACTTCCCTTTTTCTAGAAACCCCAGTTAAATCTTCCAACTAGAACATCCCCTTGAGCGGAAGGCCAGGTTGCCAGGGGATATAAACAAACCAACCACCCCAAGTGGCAGTTTTCAGCTGCTTTCTCTGATGCTCCCTGGAAACAGCAGCTGGCTCTTCTCTCAGCAGGTCCCAACTGCAGGTTCATAAACATAAACCATATCCATGGTCCCACCAGGTGGGAGGAGGTGGCCGTAAGTCAGGTAGGCACAGATGAGGGGAGTGAGGTGTCAACAGGTGGATTCAGGTAAGATTTCATATTCTGCCTTGGCACAGATTCCCATCAAATCTAATTTTATGGGTTTCCATCCTCTCTGTTTTCTTGTAACAACTGCCCTAGGGTTAAGAGACAGAGCTGATGGCTGGCTTTGCTCTGCCTGGCCCAAGATGACAACCTGTGCATTGCTCTGCCCACCTTGTTATATAGGTCCTACTGCTTCTCCTTCTATGATCCTTCTTGCAGGTCATTCTACAGCAATGGACTAAGATCTGGGAGTCATTCTGAAGTCTCAGGATGCCCACAATTATTGGGACAAAGAGATGTGATCTTGACTAAACTCAGAAATGCACGTGGACCTCTCTTACTGGTTAGAATAAACCCATAAGTAGCCCCAGCCTTTCCCAAAGAACACCCTAAGAAACACCAGCCAGTGAGATACTTCAGGGAAGAGTGCCATGTTGTGATGAAATCAGGAAAACCCCACTCTTGTAACCCCTGATTGGGGATCAATCAGCACATTCCAAGCTCCCAGAAAGCATGCAGTGGCTTAACCTGCTTAATTTGATTTAAACCAGCTGTGGACCACAGATCCTTACAAGATCCCAGTTTGGAAAATACGGTCCCAGACCATGAGGTTGGGTTCTACAAAGATGCCGGCTTCCAACGATGACCCCCAACCTTGAAGGTCAGCCTTCCTCACTCCGGTTTGACCTCCTGCCACCCAGTCCTGGGGGAAGGAAAGATTTCCCGGCAGCCTCTGCGGGAGAGTTAGAAGAAAAGGTCTAAAGCCCAGGAAGTAGAGAAGAGAGGTGCCCCTCCAGACAGACAGGACCCCAGGGGCTGCTGTAGGAAGCTGCCCGCAGCAGGACTCACCATTGGTGGCCGTGTTGACATAGTAGCGCCGGCCCTGAGGGGACAAGTAGCTTTGCCAGCCTGGTGGAAGGACGACGGTCTGGCTTTCCTCTCCCGGCGGAGGGGGGACCATTCCAGGCTTCTGTGGAGGAGGAAAGAGAAGGTCACACACATGTGGCATTTTTGCAACTGTCTCTCAACCGGGAAGTGAGAGGCAGATGAAGTCTCCCTAGAATGGCTCGACTCTGGGTGGGGTGGGGAGTGGTATGGTGGCCTACAGGCCTCCCTGGGGGATGCAACAGGCTGCAGGTGTGATTATGAGGGTTGCCTGAGCATGAGGGGTGAGGAGCCCTTAGATTTTCAGAACCACTGCAGAAGGGACAGATCCCCCCAGAGGATGGCTGGGGTTTCTCTCCTGGGCCCCTAGGAAACCACTCACAGGGATGCTTCACCTGCCTGGGGTTGGCGTGGGGGGTCACTGGAATCTGAAACTCTGGGACCACCAAATACAACAGCAGACAAGGCCCAGGGACTGCTGTGGGAACTGACCAGAAGTCATTAACACACGTTTCGGCAGACTGAGATGTTAAACCTTCCATAATAAAGCATAGAATCAACAAAGATAGAGCTGGGTTTTTTCTAGCCAAATGTCTAAATGGCAAACAGAACTGGGAAGCTGAGTTTAAACAGGCTTCTTCCTTTCCATAGTATGAACTGATGTGCAGTTTAATTCTTCTAACTAAGCACAACAGTACTTTTCTTTAAAAATAAATAAATATATAAAAAAGGTCAGAGAAAAAAGTACATAACAGAAAAACCAGAAAAGACACAAAAGCTAAACAGAGGTGATTTGTAGTGGTGGGATTATGAGGAATTCTTATTCTTTTCTTTTTGCTTATCTCTCACATCTAAATTTTTGTTAATACATACACACCAAAAAAGTTGTGAGCTAAATAAAGAACATTGAAAAATAGGGAAAGAGGGTTCGAGTTAGCCCCTCAGACAATTGCTATTCCTTGTGAAGAAAGTAAATTGACTAAAATCAGAATTCCAGTCACATGAGGAGAGGTGCGGTGAATTTCTCAGCAAAGCTGGATCCTGTTCAGAAATATTAAAACTCATCAGCTTTTAAGTGCCCTCAGAATCCTCCGGCCATACCCGAAGAGGCAGGTTCTGGTCACTAATGACCACTGTTTGGGAAAATAAGAGACTGAAACTGAGCAGTAGAGACACTCATTTCCCAGACTGCTCTCAGCTTCTCTGAAGCTGCAAAGCCTCAGGCTTCTGCTTCCTGTGGCGCCCTGCATACCCTCAGCGGGATGGGATCAATCGTAGTTGCTCCTGGGACTTGGGGTAAACACAGCCTCCCCAGCCTCCCCGTGTCCCTCCGTGGAGCGGTGGTGTATGTTTCATTACAAATGTTCACAGTTTAATTAAAAGCCTTCCCCTATGCCCTGGTGGCTTCCGACTCCCACACCTGTTAACTCACAGCACCTCTGACTGTGCGGAAGACTGGCTTCTAGAAGAACCACCCAGGGCTGGACAGCTGCCAAGAGGCCTCCTCCTCAGCAGAAAACGTCCACTGAGCCCAAGCACACAGCTGTGGATGTTTACCTGGGCGTCCAGACACTGCTCCAGCTCCTCCCAGATTGGAAAGTGGTCAAAACACATGCAAACCCTATGATGAGTATCGTGTTTTGTGTATAAAATATCCCACTTGCAGGAGATGGACATTTTGGCTGACTGGAGGCGGGGGTAAAACAAGAGGAGGGAGGTCAGAGGGTTGGCTGAGGAGAGAAAGATTCTTTTGTGAGGGGGGCCACACCATGCAGCAGGTGGGATCTTAGTTCCCTGGCCAGGGATTGAACCCACATCCCCTGCATTGAAAGTACAGAGTCTTGAAAACTGGACCACAAGGGAAGTCCCAAGAGAGAAACCTTCTAGAACCACATTGCTTCTGCTTGACCCCAGGTAACTTGTAAGAATCCATGAAGGAAAGGCCAGATTGAAGCTTGTCTATGTTTAGTAAAACCTGGTAAAACAATGAGAGATTGTTAAGAGGTATCAGAGATGGACGTCGTCAGAAATACATTGCGGAGGAGAGACGGACCCAGAAGCACAGTGAAAACCAGTGCTCTGGTCTCTGGCTCACTCCGTCCTGACTCAGCCTCTTAGCAGCCACGTGACCTGGGGAAATGACTCAACCAGCTGTCTGTTGCCACATCTGTGAAATGCAAGGTGACAATATTAGCCAGGTTGTGGAAGGTGCTATGGAAATTAATAACACACTAGCCACCAAGGACCGTGCCTGTCACCAGCTGTGCTCAATAAATGGGGGTTCCCAGAGGAAAGGGGAACCATGCAATGCTGACCAAGACCAACCTTCACAGAACCTCTGCCTCCTATGATGTGTAGTTCAGGGGGCATATACCTGGCCTCTGCCCCACCGTCACCGCAGATGCAATGTCACCATTCACAATCACTTCCCTGAGGTTTCTATTTCTAGGATTACTCAACTTAAAAGGTAAACACAGATCTGCAGGGGAGGCTGGCGGGTTAAGATGCTGACTCACACACTCTGGTGAGACGACCTCTCCCGCGCTGGGATGGTGGGGTGAGTGAACTGAACCTTCCGTGCCTCTGGGTCCCACCTGTGAAACAGCATCAGTGACACCTGTCCTGTCTCCACAGCTGTGTGGTGCTGTTCTTTTTAGGACTAGTGAACGCGCCTAACTCTGTAGGGTCAGAAGAAGCTCGAGTTTCCATCTGAAGACACCGATGACCAAGGACGGGCCATGACTGCTCTGAGGTCGCCCCCATGCAGGAGATGCAGGGCCCTCCAGAAGGTACCTGGGGGAGGCCTCCTGGATGCTGAGCCCAGAAGGTAGGGGTGCTGAAAGAGTGGAGGGGGTGCACCTGGGCCAACATGGCAAGTCTCCACCTCCCCTCCAACATGACCACGGGGCCCCGTTCTGCACGCCATCTGGCTATGTTCTGCTTCCACCTCCCACCCGCAAGGCAGCCACAGTCCCCTTGTTGTCTCCCTTCTTCCAGACAGAAGTCCCTCCTGTTGGCTGGCTTAATGTAAGTCAGGAATCAAAGATGTGCGGACAACTGGGTATATTAAACGAACTGAAAACAGCGCTCAAACACAGACTTGTATACACGTTCACAGCAGTGGCATCTACAATCGACGACTGGTAGAAAACAACCCAAGTGTCTGTCAACTGATGAACAGGCCAACAGACACTCCTCTGTCCATGGGGTTCTCCAGGCAAGAATACTGGAGTGGGTTGCCATTCCCTTCTCCAGGGGATCTTACTCACCCAGGGATTGAACCTGGGTCTTCCGCACTGCAGGCGGGATTCTTTACCATCTGAGCCACCGGGGAAGCCCATGTGTATCCTTAAAAAAGGAATATTCGGTCATCCAGAGGAATAAAGTATTGATATACATGACAACACAGATGACCCTTGAAATGATGCCATGTGAAATAAGCCAGCCACAAAGGGCCACATACTGTACAATCCTATTTACATGAAACATCCAGAATAGAAAAATCGTTAGAGACAGAAAGCAGAGGACTGGTTGCCAGGGGCTGGGGGGAGCGGAAAACAGGTACAGGGACTCCTTTTTGGGCGTGATGAGAATGTTCTGGAAGACAGTGGTGATGGCTGCACAAAACTGAGAATGCATAATGTGTCACTGATGATAAATTTTATGTTAGGTTTATTTTTTCTTTTAATTGGAGTATACTTGCATTACAGAGTTGTGTTTCTGCTGTACACCGAAGTGAATCAGCTATACATATACATACATTTCCTCCCTCTGGGACCTCCCTCCAACCCAAGTCCACCGCTCTAGGTCATCACAGAGCACCCAGCTTTATCCAGGTGGCGCTAGTGGTAAAGAACCCGCCTGCCAATGCAAGAGACACAGGCTTGATTCCTCGGTCGGGAAGATCCCCTGGAGGAGGGCATGGCAACCCACCCCAGTATTCTTGCCTGGAGAATTCCATGGACAGAGGAGCCTGGTGGGCTATGGTCCATAGAGTTGCAAACAGTTGGACATGACTGAATCGACTTAGCACGCATGCACACAAGTACAGGTGTATTTTAACACACACACACACACAGTTGCGCGCGCACGCACACACACACACACACACACACACACACACACACACACAGTTGGCACCACCTGCAGGCCCTCATCTAAGAGGCCCAAACCACCATCATCTTCCTTCTTGTGGTTGTGGAGGGCCAGGCCTCCTGGGAGAGCTGCCCCAGAGCAATCAAGAGGATTCAGCATGAGGAACTACCCAGTAATTAAGGTCTCTACCAAACCTATACTTCTAATTAGTTTCCTTCCAACTTAAATCCTCCCTTCCCTAGTCCTGTGGCTTCTCCCCTTCCATTTCAGCAGCTTTTTCCCATGGGAATAGGAACTAGAAGCAGGGGTGAACAGTGAGGTTGGGGGCCACACCTACAATGAGGATGATCAGAAGTGGGAATCAGGGGAGACGAAACCAGTTTCCTCCGACTCAGAAACTGTTAACCTCATGCACAGCACACCTTTGTGGGAATCAGAAAATATTGCCTCTTCTCTACATGGGCTGGGCACCTGAGTGTATGGCTGGGTTTGGCCTCCCTTGACCTCACCTCCTCCCAATCTGGGCCCCTTGTTCAGTAGAACCTGCTCAACTGTATATGACAGCCCATCCTCTGAGAATGTAAAGAAAATTCTAGCTCTTCTGCCCCCCACCCTTCAAATGGAGACATGTGTCCACCTACTCACTCACCCTATTTCCAATGGAACATGTAGAGATTCCAGACAACTTCAGAAGCCCAGTCTAGAAGGTTCTCAAGAAACATATGCGCTCGGACCCCATTAGCAATCACCGATAATGATTTCCACTGCCTACCAAATGTTTACCGTGCACCAAGGCCTGGGCCAGGTGCCTCACACACTCATCTTTAATTGTCACTGCAAGCCTGCTGCAGAGATGCCATTTTCTTCCCCCATTTTAAAAGGAGGAATCCAAGACTCAGAGAGTTTAATATCTCACCCAAAATCTGCACAGCTAATTAACTGGTGAAACCAAACTTTAAAATATTAGCTTTGTTCAAGAGATTTCCATCTGGTTACTCAAATCCTGGCTACCCTCAGCCCATCTCTCCCCAGCTGTCTGTGATCAGCTCTGAATCTTCACCTGGACCACCTGACATCCCAGATCCCACCCAAGGAGGATGGCACCCCAGCCTGATCCTCCTGCCTGTCTCACGGTCTCCAAACGAACATATGCCTCCCCAGGAGATGTGCAGAAATATCACCACCCACGTGCAAGCAGTCACGTTCCCCGTCTGTGGGCTGACTTCCTTGTCTCCTTACTTAGAATGACACAACTGAAGAAAATTTTCCTCTTAGTAATGGCTACTGATTCCCCCTTGGGGTGGAAGGGGGAGGGGGGGAGAAGAGCAGGTGAACAAAGGGAAGTCACCCAGAGATTAAAAAAAAGTCCCCTCTACAGCAGTGTTTCTCAAAGTGTGGTCCCTAGGACGCCCCATCCATCACCTGGGATGTGGGTTAAAGTACAGATGCCAGGGTCCTGACTTCAAATCAACCTTGAGCCTGGGAAGCTGCCTTTTAACATGTTATCCTTAAGTCTCAAGCTCAATGAACTCAGAAGAGAGAGTCTGCAGCTTTCCTGAGGGAGTGATGGAGAGAAAGGATCACTTCTGAAATCAAAACTGGGAACAGAAAATTAACAATTTATAAAAAGACAGCGTTTGGCTTCCTGGCTATGTATGAAAGAAAAGACTCCTAGCCCCTAGCCCAGACCCTTCAGAGAGACTATTTTAAGAGAGACCCAGTCTCCCTCTGCAGCCTCCGGGCAGTCCAAACCCCAACACTCAGCTCCCGGTAGCCTCTTCAAGTTCAACCCGGGACTCCTCGCCCTTCAGGAGACTTCCGGGAGCACCTGGCTCTTACCTCCCACAGATGTGAGCAGACGGTCCTCGCTGGTGGTAACGGGTGGTCGCCAGACACTCAATTTCGCAGTCGAATAGGACAGGTTTAAGGTCCCCCCATTCCACGTCTTCTCACACCCCAAACCCAGAAGCAATAGAGGAGCTAAAGAAAGGCATATCCAGGAGCCCCCACACCCCCCCACACCCAGATCTATATATAACAGAGCTGAAGTTGTCAGCCTAACGAGCCACTTTCTGGCAGACCCGTTGCCATGGCAATGACTGCTAATGAGCCCAGGGCTGTGATTGGCACCGCCTGAAGGCTTCTCCACAAAAAACTCTCCAGCAAGGTCTCCTTTCCCAACCACACGGCCAGCGGGGACACCTGGGGGCAGCCAGGATGTGGCTAGGGGTGCCTGGGAGCCATGGGTCCCGGGGAACCACTTTGTTACAGGTGCGCCCAAAGCAGTCCTGGACCCAACGGCCCGGAGCGGCCTCTATTGTCACTCAACATGGGCCAACCAATTAGAGACAGGGCTGCAAAGAAGTCACCAAGAAGACCAACCCCGCTGGGCCAGAGACTGGAGAGTCGAGTCCAACCCACGCTTTCTGCCGACATGTCAGGCTGGACAGAGCCCCACAGAAAGCTGGGAACGGCTACCCAAGGAAAGAGCATCTTTGGCTACGGGCTAAGAGACCAGGCACGAAGTGGGGCCCCGCCTCCCACACTGATGCCGCAGGCCTGCAGGCCTGTGTCTACGAGAATTCTGGGCACCTTGCCTCTATCTCACAGGTGAAAGTATTGTTCTCTCTGGCTCTGGCAGCCTTTCTATCCATGGAGAGCAACTCACAGACATTAACTGGGGGGACCCATGACAACAGCACAGGGCATTCTGGGAGGTGTAGTCCTCGCAGTACTTGTATAGGCTCGTGGGAAGAGGATGGATGCTGACAGCATGCTCATGGTCTTCCAGCGGGTCTTCTAGGGGTTAGAGATTTGGAGACCTGGCCAGAGTGAAGGGGAGGAGGAGGCACAGGGGAAGCAGGTGGAAGCAGAAGAGAGACCACACAAGAGAGAAACATTCAGGAAGGCAAGGCCATGTCCATCTTGTTCTTACCTTTACTCTAAGCTCAGTATTCAGAATACTGGATGGACGGACGGATGGATGAATGAATGGAAACTGGGAACTGTAACAAAAACTAGGCTTCAAACAGATTTGAGAGGCTGTCTCACCAAACAAGTAGAAAGAGAACAGCAGCCCAAGCAATATATGTGCCAGTGGTAAAGAATCTGCCTGCCAACGCAGGAGATGCAAGAGATATGGGTTCGAACCCCGAGTTGGGAAGATCCTCTAGAGAAGGGAATGCCAACCCACTCCAGAGGAGCCTGGCAGGCTACAGACCATGGGGTCACAAAGATTGGGACATGACTGAGCACGTGCATGCATGCATACACACACACACACACACACACACCCAATGAACACATCCCAGCTCTTCATGGAGCTGACTGAACAGACTGTTCAAGTACAGGGAGGTGGGGAGATGAGATAATACAGTGTTTTTTTCAAGTGGAGGAAATAAACTGAGGAACAGCATCCGGAAGCCTCAGGAGCAGCACAAATTTCTACTCATGAGCTCATCTGATCTCCAGAAGAAAAATCCCAGGAGATCATTGAGTGACCTCAAAAGAGGGCAGGAATATACAGCATTTATGCTACAAAAGTCATAAAGAAAGAACAAACTAATGAATAAAAGGCAAATTGGTTTAAAAAAGTGATATAAAAAAGGGACAGAATGTGCTCAAAACTGTAGGGAAACTTAAAAGATAGTGACAGAAGGAACAGCCACACTGGTTACAACAGAATATAAAATCAGTATTGCAAAAAGAAAAAAAAAAAAAATCAGTTATGGACAAAACAAACTGAAGATTTTTTTCCCCCCTGGAATGCAAAAGGAAATGGGAAAATATGAAAGCGGAATCAACAGAAGAGCAGGCCAAGGTGCTAGGTATTCCGGAAGAAGAAACTAGAAGAAAAGCCAAAACCCAAAAGGAACTATAAACAAAGATTTTTGGGGTGGGGGGAACTTTCCTCAGCTCAAAGAAGACACACAGGAAGGTCTTTGGGATTTCAAAGCCAAACAACAAGCCAACACCCTCTAACAACACATCTACACAGCAACCCAAGGATCAAGTGCTACAACCTTTAAGTGGGAGGAGAGTGTCTCCCTCCAGTAAAGAAGCACAAATAAAGTGGCCCTCAGCTTCTCTGTGACCACGATTCCAAAGATACCTCTGGATAGTTATGTAGAAAATGCTGAGGCCATTCTATGTGGCCACTATGTCACATGTCTTTCATTAAGTCACTTGGTCTTTCATGAATGAAATCGCTCAAAATACACTGCTCTACCAATAAGGGCTCAGGATATTTACCAATCAAGTGCTTAAAAGATGCACTCCAACTTCTCGTCTACATCAGCTACCTTCCACAATCCCCCCCCGCCCACTGAACCCAGCACTGTTCTCCATCCACGACTCTGCTAAAGGAAGCCTCACACCGTGGGTGAGACTGGTACCCACTCTGAGGAGTGAACATCAGTGCCATGGGGGTTCTCTCCCGGCACCCACGAAGCTGCCTGCCCTGGGCCCGGAGGTTGAACTACTTTAAGCATTGCAGATGTGTCTGGCTCCTAAAGACTCAGTGAGGGTCCTGGGGACTCTGAATATCCACCAGCAAGCCCCCACCCCGCCCTCCACCCAGTGCCTCCCTGGGGGCCCATCAATTCACTGGGCATGTTTCTTAGGACTGAATAGGCAGAGGACACAGAACAATCAACTCTGTATTTTCTGACCCTGAAAAGGAAGGGAGTGATCTGGTGAACCAGGAATTTTGATGAACACAATTACAATGTAGCTCATGCAAGGGTACAGGAAGTCAACTCTCACAGGAAAACTTGCTCAACTGGAAACCAAGGGGTCTCCAGCGGGGCAAGGATGGATGAAAAGCTTTGCAAGCAATACCACAAATTATGAGAATGAATTGGATGAATGAACCCTCCAGGTTCAGAGGCCACTTCATGGCCTTTCAGTGTCCGGGGGCCAAGCAGTAGAGAATGAGAAGGAACAGATAGTGTTGGAAGTGGCTTCTGTGCCAGCCCAGCACACATTCTTACATGAGCCCCACTCCACCAACCCTGGAGGAAAGACATTTTATTATTCTTGCACCTTCCATACAGATATAAACCAGAAGAGTCAATTAACAGGGTTTTAGAGAAGACAATTCAAGAGATGGGGAATTCTGAGTGGCTGGTATTTTTCCTGGGGCACCATCCAGCATGGCTGGTATTTGAGAGGGGCTCACTCCTCAGAGCCTCCTGGGAGAATCTCCACATTGACTAAACAGCATCAACGTGCCACTGAATATCACAATCACTCTTGCTGCTTACAGACGAGTTTGGGAGCAGGAAACCAGAGTCCTCGTGGCCATGCTGAGGGCCACGTGGCGGGGGGAGGGGGATGGGGGTTCCTGTGGGTGCTCCTGAAATACGGAGAACACTCCAGGAATAAGACAGAACCCACAGCTGTATCCCCACCTCGGAGTCTGGAGGGGCTTGGGGAACCCCGGAGAAAGCCCCTAACATCTGTCCCGTGTCTCAGATGTGTCTCATCCTGATGTTTCTGTGCTCTAAAGGGCAAGGTGGTGAGCTCCTGGCAGCCGGTTCCAACTTCTAAGCAGGAAAAACCCAAATGATTCTGCTCCCCAGCTTGTGATTCACAGAGACATTTTATTCAAACTCAGCTTCCTGATGGGCTGTTGAGAATGTCGGCTCCCTTCCTCCCACCCCTCCCTCCCCTGGCAGATTAAAAATAGCAGGGGCTGTTCTGACATCCTACCTCCACTTTGGGAGCATCAGCAGAAAACACAGGGGTCCAGGCTTAGAGAGGCTGCGTTCCCAGGCAACGAGCTGTAATTCACATGGTTCCCTTTGCCTCCCTGGACTTCCGTCTCTTCGTCTGTGAAACCAGGGGTTGTGAGCCCTCAAACACTGGGGTTCTACACCCCAAGGAGCATCTTTCATAACAGAGCCCAAAACTACCATGAGGGAAATCTCAAGGCATTTAAATGACTGGCGCGAACTTGCAAAAGCCTCTACCACATCAACAAAAGAGATGGCAGAAACCTCCTGATGAGGAACATAAATGTTCATGAAACTTCCCCCCCTCTTTTTATGCACAATTTCCCCCCAAACTCCTCTGGGCTCCAGAGGCAGAGATCTGAAACTCCTTTGATCTAGAACTACTGCTTCATTCACTGCAGACTGGGAATTGGTGGGAAAGAGAACAGCGAAGTGATTAACAGCAATTGGAAATCATTAAATTTATGCCTGGGACTTCCATGGTGGTCCAGTGGTTAAGATTTCACCTTCCAATGCAGGGAGTATGGGTTTGATCCCGGATCAGAAGGTTAAGATCCCAAATGCCTCCTGGGGTGGGGAGGAGGGGGGGGATCAACAATACAAAACAGAAGCAATATTGTAACAAATTCAATAAAGACTTTTAAAATAATCCACATTAAAAAATTCTTAAAAAAAAAATTATGCTCAAACTTCCCAGGGGACTCAGTGGTAAAGAATCTTCCTGCCTAGCAGGAGACACAAGAGACGTGAGTTTGATCCCTGGGTGGGGAAGATCCCCTGGAGAAGGAAATGGCAACCCACGCCAGTATTCTTGCCTGGGAAATCCCACTGACAGAGGAGCCTGGCGGGCTGCAGTCCACCAGGTCGCAGAGAGTCAGACACAACTTAGTGACTGAACAGCAGCAGTTGGATAACTGAACTGTGGGCAACATACCTGAAACCTCTATGGGGAGACTGAACACTGAATCTCCCTTTTCTGCCACAGGTCACTGTGCCAGCCTCTTCATGGCTGTAATGTCTCTACGTGCCAGAGGAAGAAGTTGGGATAAAGTTTAACACTTCCCTTAGATGAGATGGTTGGATAGCATGATCAACCCAATGGATATGACTTTGAGCAAACTCTGGGAGATAGTGGAGGAGAGGGAACTGTGGCTATAATCCATGGGGTTGCGAAGAGTTGGACATGACTTAGGGACTGAACAACATAGTTGTAAAGGATCTCAAAATGCATCCTAGAAAA